CATATATACATATATACATATATATATATATATATTATTTTAATGTATAATTAATAATGATAATGTGTATTTTGTAGTATTTTTATATAATAATTTTTGTATTTTTAATATTATACGTTCCATGCCTATTTTAGTAAGGTGCATTCTGATGTTGTAGAATTAACAATACGGGTTTAATATCCCCATCACATGGTCGTTAACACAATTAACTAGCAATGCAGGTACCTACCGCTTTTTGTTTATATTTGATGGCGAGTTTTAACCGACTTAAAGGTTCCACACCCGTTGGTGAGTCGGCATCTCGATTTAAAATGATAGCCAGTTCTTGAGACCCTCTAGTTTGGTCTAATAATAATGTCGCAAACTCTTTGCACTGTTCCACTAATACCTCATAATCCTCTTTAAATTCGTTTTCAAGCTTGCTAAGGCGTCTCAATTCGCCACTCAGTTCAAATGCTGTCAATATTGGATCCTCACTAGAAAGGGCTATAAGCGATGGACTGGCCAAAGCTTTATAAATGTTTAGACGTGAGCGAGAATGACGGAGACCGTCGTGTTTGATACTGGATATACAGTCATCACACCCGCATTTCACGTCGTGTGGCTTAGGTATTGTAGCACCCCTCTCTAAAAGTAGCTTTAAGATTTCATAGTTATTTCGATGGGCAGCCAGCATAACAGGACTTATGTCGGCAGTAAAATCTGATTCGAGCCCTTCTGTCTGGAGCATGCGCACCTAAAAGAATAAAGAGATTTTGCGTTAAAAGTTCATCAAGTTCATGGCGAACATCATATTGCAAAGATTAATCATCTACTTATCATTCTGTCTTTATGTCGTATACGTCTACAAATCTACCTAAGGATAATAGACTTATATTAATATTGTCTGTTTGTGTTTTCGAGCATTAATCGTTCTGTCGGTCACCTTGCATGCCGTTGTATCTATATGTCTGTCTGCGGGCGATGTCAAAGATTTACTACCTGATTATCAATTTGCCGAATATAAAGACCTGTCTAGACTATCAAAATTCTATTTGACAAGAACATTACGTCATGACTATAACATCAGGTTTTTGTAAAAGGAAATTTGACAATCAGGGCAGAGCTTAATACGACAATATTATGGCGTTTGCCTTATATAGTAGGCATATGTAGCTAAATAAAAAAAAAATTAAATAAAAAAAAAACATTTTAAAAATAAAAAATGTAAAAATATAATTAAAAAAATATAATAAAATAAATAAATAAAAATAAAAAATAAATAAATAAATAAATAAACTATAAATAAATAATAAAATAAATAAATAATTAAATAAAATTAAGTAAGTAAAATTAAATCAGTTATCCATTTATTATGTATGAGCCGGAGAACACAACGTATTTCGCTCATCTTCTCAGCCATTGTTGGTCGATTGTTCATGCTTCAACGTGTCTGACGTCTTAATTAGGAATAGCACTGTAGGGCTTAAGCCCACTAACTAGCACAATTTAAAATATATTGTGTCGCATACATTGCATAGGCCTACAAATATTCACAACATGAAATCAAATAAGCATTTATCAAATCTCAAGTATGGCTAAAAGCAAGCTTCTACGTCCTCTCCTTTTTCAAATGATGTTCTACAATAAACTACCGTACTGTATGTGCAAATACTAGGTGTCGAAATCAACCTTTTTAGATAGATTTATGTAAAAATATAAACAAAACTGGCATTTTAAATAGGCACTTCAAAAAATCATCAGCATTGCAGGTGCAAGGCAAACAGTTTGTAATAAATTTATACTCAATCTGATTATTGTGCAGCTTAGATCATTTTTTTAACTCAATGGTACGTTTCTAACTTACTTTCGAATTAAAAAAGGACATAGCCTTTTTATTATTTAAAGATTTTTAAAGAAATATCAATATCTAAATAAAATTCGGAAAGGAACAGGATAAGTTTGTCAAAACCTTTCAAGCACCAAAATAAACAAGCGTCAACGAACAAAAAGATACCTCGGCAATTCTGGGGAACCCTTCACGAAGAGGTTGTGTCTTTTTTAGAACGAGACGACAATTCACGAATGATGCCTGGAAAAGGATACATGTAAAGGCAATGACGGAAAAGACCAAGTAAAATTCCTCTGTGACTATCTTATTAACCTTCATCTAACATACAAATCAGAGAAACCTGGTGAAAGTCTCGTTTCATTTTCAGCCTTCAAGCGAATCCGCCAAAACCTGCCACACATCAAACTGGCAAAGTTTGCTTCACGTAATACAAGCTTGTGTCAAAAACACCAAAATATTTCACTGAATATCAGTGTAGTGTCGGTTAGTAGTCCCGATGAGTTTATTGCCAAATACAATGATTCTGCCGTAACAGACATGCTTGAGAATGCGAACAGGGAGACATTGAATTGAACTGTGCGTCAGATGAACATATTAAAAAGAAGACAAAGTTCATTTAGATGGTAAAATAGAAAGCCGATTTATCTCTTATGTGAAGAACGATGCCAAAGAGTTTCGTCAACGCGTCATTTGAGTAAAGGAGCAGTCCAAGGCTGTAAAACCCTGCAAAGAAACTTTACAAAATGGAGAACGTGTAGTCCAGATGGACTCGGAGAACCACGTCAACTATATTTCCTACATAGTCAAGGATCTCATGACTCGCTTGGTTAAAATAGTACGAGGTCTATCGCGAGTCCATTATTGGACCGACAGTCCCATATCACAGTAAAGGAACAAAATAATAAATACATAAATAAAATACAATTCCCATATTAATAAACAATACATGCGGTAACGTATGTTGCACAATACATGTATGTAACCATGACAACATTTTAAAAATTAACAAAAAGTTCTGGTAGTAAAAATTCTAAAATAATTAAATCGTATTCTGAAATATTTTATTACTTTAGATTTGTTATTTTCTATATATGATGATTATATAACACTAAGACAAGCATGCCAGAGATAAAACGCTGGATGTTATGAAGATTAGAATTGGAAAGTTGGATCTTAAACAGAATGCTTCACAATTTAGGTCTAATATAATAATAGGCTTTTGAAGACTATCTTGAACAAATGTGGAGAGAATATTTGTGAAATGTAACAGTAAAGAAATCTGACCAAAAAAGTAATTAAAAAAAATCCACAGGCCATCGAACCTGGGCATTTTTTTACATACATGGCTTATGTCATAACCACTAGTCCAAAACAACGATTTATGGTAAATACAAATGCTGGTTGAAAGCTTTATAATTATTTTATCGTGTCTGACGTAATATTATTGGAATAGCACTTATTATATAACATGAATGAGACGGCATGAAAACCGGAAAAAAAAACATTTTTTTATACGTTGTACAACTGATTTTTCTAATTGATTTAATGAAAAACTGGGAACGATTAAGTAGATACACATTTTTGAATATTTATACACTATGGGAAATGTGAAAAAGGGGTGGTTACGCCTCATTTTCCCATAGATTTTAAGTATTCAAAAATCTGTATCTCCGTTCCCGAAATTTTCCTAAAACATCATTTTTCTGTCTTAGAAAAATCTAATCCCAGCAACTTAATGTATATTTTATCTTAAATAATATTTTTATGTATTTTTAATGACTTGAAATTTACTCACTGCTATTTCCATAATGGACATAAAATTGAATGCGAGTCTGAATCTCTATAGACAAGCTACGTGTACTAGAGTAGTATGCAATAAAGCTTATGATAACTTCAATGTTCTAGATTGAAAAAACGTCTTCAATGATTTGAAGACGTTTTACTACAGACATTCTTAAAATGTGCTGGTACCGTAGTTAAGGGCAGGCCTACACAATATGCAAGGACTATCGAACTGGCATTACATAAACGGCCATTAATTGGTACATTTTTTGTTCTAGTTGTTAGGTTTAAAGCTATTAACTTATTTAAATATACAAAGTAAAGAAAATATAGTAGGCTTATATATAATAAAACAAAATATATTTAAAGAATTTTTAAATAGCCTATGTAAAAAAGTACAACTTCAACATTGATAAGTTCGATCTAAAATAGAAACACAAGCAATAAAATGTTACATATTATATATATATATGTATATATATATATATATAATAATGAAAAGTAAAAGAAGATGAAGGACTATTGACACTATACTATAAAGCATACTAAATATTATAATCACGAACAATACAAATTTGATGTAGGTATAGGCCCGTTAATTCACTATTTTATGTTTTGTCAAATAATAATTATTTTTGGAAAATTTATTCGCATCCAACAGCAAAGTACAGTTAACTCTCAAATTACAGAATGGACGACGTTGCATAGTCTCATTATGATTAATTCAATTAATTATCCGTTCACAGTGATTGTCTTGCAATACGCAAGACTTGACCTGAGCAGGGAATTGATCGCCTCTGCCCAACGATAAGTTTCAGGATTTTCTCGACCCGGTAGGAGAGTACATATTAAAGGGTTCCACCTTGGGTGATAGATTCGTTCATTTATAAATAATATAACTTAAAAGAAAGGTCTCTCTTAATGGCTGTATATAATATTATGTAAAAAATTTGCATGGTCAATGTCAGCCAAGTGTCTTGAACATGATGACGGCTAGTGTAACAAGTAACAAGTAGCAAGTAAGAGCTCTACTAAGGACAGGATGCAGTGACATATTAGAAGTATTGGAATAGGGGTGCTGATGGGGGATGCGAAGGTGCAATGGTAGGGGGCATTTGAGGGGCGTAACTCGCAAAATAAGGTGATTTTATGTCATTTTTAACTTTCAAGTGATTTGGGGGCGGGGCGACTGGGGAGGAGTAATTTTTTGGAAGGGCGTGCATGGAGTGATTAAATGCGATACTGAAGATAGGAGTACAGTAGCCCAGCAAACACTAAACGTCATTACAGTGTTGGTGAATGTTGTGTACATTGTATTTAAGTTGATACAATTTTGTTGATGTTTGCGCTTTACAAATCGATATTTTTATTATTATAATAATTATTAAAATGACGTTAACACAACATTGCAATAACAACGCAATGTTAATTAGTTGGAATTTACATAGTTCTACAAACAACACCAAACTTTCAAGATAGCACAACAACCTAAACTTATTTGGAGAATCGAAGTTGTAAAACATCCAAGAAATCATAGATGAAGCTATTTTAAGCAAAATTGTCAATATTTATAATTGGTTTAGTGGATATTGGCCCATGCTGGCTTTCGTAAAAAATTTAATCATTAATTAATTAAACAAAGTATATTACTAATAAATTGCAATGATAATCACTGAAGTGAAATATCATATTTAGAGAATTACACACAATTAGAGAATGTGGGCCTAGAAATAATGATTATAATATAATTCCTCTAAAGAAATAATGTGATTTGGAAGATAAACAATTTTCATTTTCAGTTAAATATAACATTATCAATAGAATTTTATATTATTCATAACTGGCACTCGGTTGAGAATTAGAAGTATGGTTGGTTTTAAACGTTGATAATAGATGTAGTTTTAAGCAACTGCCTATTAGGTAAGGTTTTCAAACACTTAGGCCAACATTGTGCATCAATTAACGGTTGACTGCCACTTAAACATTTTTACATTTTATTCAAAATGTAAAAAATAATAAAATGGCATTAAAAAGTAAACGGTCACGTTATATGATTCGATATGAGGAGTGATTCCTTAAGGAAACAGACTAAGCGAAGAAGCAATATGAAATGGAGACTCATA